AGAAGGCAGATTTGTGAAACAAACGGAAGTGAAGAAATACAGACAAAGGTAGAGGAAGTGATGAGGTAAATAACAGGTGGAAGGGTAAAGGAGAGGGGAAGAAGTGGAAGTGAAGGAAATAAACTCAGAATGGAGGACACGAGGGGGATGAAAGGAAGGTGAGAATGAAGGGAAGGCAGACAGTGAGCTCTGGTTTCTGTTCTGACGGCTCCCGAGTCTTTGTCAGCCTGCGGTCTCCCTCTTAGAATTGCACAGGACAGATCTCACTTCCCATTTCTCCTCTCTTCAGATTTCACACATCCCACCCTAGAATCACCATTTTTCCTTGTCCACTGTGATCAATGGTAGGGACTCCCCTCATTCGTCAGGTCTGCTGAGCTGGAAACCATGGGGTCATTTCCAGCATTTTCCCCTCTGATCCCTGACCCCTGGGGAGGATGATCTTCCCTGGCCACACTGCCCACATCCTTCATGCCCAGGCTGTGACCATGGCTCCCAGCTGTTCATGCCTCTAGTTCTCATGTTAGTCCTCTCTCTCTCCTACCTCCAAAATGATCTATTCCCCAAGGTCTAGGTGCTATGAAAATTAGAGAAGGGTGAATTTTAGTCCCTTCCCTGAAGAACCTCTATGCTAGCTAGCTGATAAGACACACACACATGAAAGAGAGAGGAACCGAGGATGACAGAAAGACTTCTCACTGGCTACTGCCAGGAAGACCAGAGAAGAGGCCCTGCCCCCAGGAGTGATTGTACAGATAATGCCTTCACTGGGGCTTAGAGTACAGGGAGGGGTGGTGAAGTGGGAAGTTGGAGGAGTGGTACTCAACAAACAGTAAATATATAAAGCCACATGCACAGGGAATAAGTGTTATGTATTTAGATGACAATGAGGACCATGCCAGAGCGGTACAGAGGGTGCACATCTAGATTCTAGAAAAAGTGAAAAATACAGCTAGATAAGCAAGATGCTTTTAGGGCATTGATGAGGTTGAGCTAGAGTAAAGCATTAGGATTTGATGGTGAGCTTCTCAATGTAAAGTACTGTGGACATTACATGGAAGGAAACTATGGTGGAAGCAATGCTTCAGAAAGAGTAATTGAAGCCTACGAACAACACAGGGGGTGGAGGTTGAGAAAGAGAGACAGGGAGACTGAGTTTACTGCACAAGCCTTAGTGCAAACATAAAGTTACCACATGATCCAGCAATTCCACGCCTCGGTATACAGGGTGGGCAAAAGTAGGCTTACAGTTGCCAGTACTCAAAACACAGAGTTTATCCTTGTGTTATTATTTATTATTGTATTATTTTCCACATGGACAACTATTACTATGAACAACCTACTTTTGCCTCACCCTGTATACCCAAGATAAATGAGAACATATGTCCACACAAAAACTTGTATGCAATGTTTACAGCAGTATTATTAATAATATGGAAAAGGAGGGTACAATCCAAATGTCAACCAACTGATGAATGGAGAAACGGAATGTGGTGTATCTGTACAATGAAATACTACTCGGCCGTAAAGAGGAATAAAGTACTAAGACATGCTACAGCGTGGATGAACCTTGAAAACATCATTGTATGTGAAAATAGTCACAACAGAACACATATTATCTGATCCACTTTTATGAAATATCCAAATAGGCAAGTTTAAAGAGATAAAAAACAGGTCAC